CCTTGCACCAATAACGATAGCCGCAAGAGGAATACTTCACCCTTCTTCCTTGAAACTGTACATTTTAGGGTCTAGTTAATAACAGATTCTAATCTCTATTTCGAACAAAGGTTCGATTAAAAAAACTGTTTTACTTTTGTAGTTTATTTGTTTTTCAGATTATAGAATTGGAAATAATCAATCTCAATAAACAATGACTGGTGGAAGTAATTCACTCGATGTTGAAAGATTAAAAGCCGATATTCATCAAGAAGAACAAATAAAGTATGTGTTATAATTAATGTTTTTCATATTTTAAACGCTTTTTTTTATTTCAGACAATCGTTAGAACAATCATGTCATGAATTAACAAACACGGCTGTAGAACTAGAAAAACGTTTAAAATTAATTGATGAAGAAAGTAAGATTTTAATACATGTTTTTTTTCGATGAGCAATTTGTTGAATTTTAGTTCAAAGGTCTAGTTTTATAATCCTTTTGTTAAAAAAGTCAAGAAAGTTATAGATCATTTGTTTTAGTGAGTACACATCTAGACATAGGCGGAAAACTGGAAGGTAACGAACAACTCGATATGATACTGTGCACAGAGAAAAAAAGTCTTATTTAACACTATTTAATGATTAATACTAATAAATTAAGATTTTCTGTGCGTTCGATAGTTAATATGAATCACAGTTAATCTTTTGAGTATGAAAAGAGTGATCACAGAGTTTAACTACTATGGTTGATATCTTGAGTTTAGTGAAAAAAATATTGAATATAAATGTAAATGATATTTTCTAATAGGTAATGAATGGAAAACACGTTTTGAAAATCAGGAAGAAATTAATCGACATCTTCATAGACAAATTGCTTTACTGGAAAAACGTATTGAAAATGCTAGAGAAGAACTTAAAACAGGTTAGAAAAATACATATCATTCTCTATTATTGAGCTCATAGCAATGTTCTAATTCTAGCTAAAACACGAGCAACAAAAATTGATACCAATGAGGTAAACCATTTGTCAGAATTAAAGTTTTCCTCTATATTTCGATATTCTTTTTTCAGATCAGTAAAGAAAGTCTTAGTGAAATAGAGGGTGAAAAGAGAAGTTTATTGAGTCAATTAAGAGATTATGAATGGCGGTTAGAACAAGAAAATAAGGTATTTTTTAATAAGTTTTACACTCGATTATAAGTAACAAGATTTCTTTTTGTAGGCTTATCATAAAGCAAATGAAGAACGAAAAACGTTAACAAATGAAATAACAGATATCAGAAGTATATACTTTTATCTCTTCTTCTACCATGCGAAATTGATTAATCATAATTTTCATTTTTTTCAAGATACAATATCAGTTATGAAGGAAAAAAATCAATTACCCGATCATCCTAGTAAGAACGATCGTGTAGTTCAATTAACAAGTAGAACAGACTATCCGACGACCGAACGAGATGCACACAAGTATGTTGATAAAAAATTTATAGAAATGCTTTCTTTTTTCTTTTTTTTATCAAACATTCCGTCTTTAGTAATATACCGATGGATAAACGAATCATCGATCCAAAGAAAGGACCGATAAATAAAAATGCGACAGTGAGAGCGTTACCGAAAATTACGAATAAACAATGAATTGATTGATAATCGACAGATATTATTAAATAAAATGGGTTAACAAATTTGTTGAGAGCATTGAATAAACACGAATTGGCATGTGAACACGATATAATATCAAAAATAATGTCTGATATATTCAATTAAATTATCTCGTATTATATGAACACACAATGCGATCGGGTTTTCTCTTCATTTAGTTGCTGTATAGAAACGCTTTTTGTCGCTAAATTTGAAAATGAGGGTACATGCTTCATGCTCAGTAAGTAAATAATAATGCATACAGTGGGAAAAACGTCATCTCCGAAAATAAAAACGTGTTTATATAACGTTTTGTTCATCTTAATAATTACATCTCATTTTTCACTTTTTTTCTCGTAGTGACTATGTATTTTTTATGTATCTACTATGTATTTTTCTCGTTATGTGCAACATTTATTTTACATTTTTCTCCTATTGTTTCTACATTGTTTTATTAGTGAATAAATATTTATAGGGGTGAACGTGTGATATTTCATATTGACTACAGACATTGTGATAATGGGACTAGCAATAAGAGATATCTTTATTTTTTTATCAAGTTTTTTAACAGAACAGTTGGCAGTTTAACGACAAAAAGAAATCGAATTGTAATGCAATAATCGTTATCAATAAAATTTCACTTAAAAGCAGAAAGATCAGAGATTTGAAAAGCTGAACTAAACAAATGAGGAAAAAACCCATTATTATTCATAAATTACACATCGTATATTAATTAATTTGAGTTTTAAACATAAATTTCATTTTAACGATCTGTAAAACGATTGATGACAAATATAATCACATAGACCTAATCTCTAGAGTTATGCCGATTGATCTTTGACAACAGCTCAAGAAAACGATAAAAATCAATCTCAACGTCATCGTATATCGGACGTCTCGAAATGATTGCTCATTTTTTTGTTTGCATATATCTCCGTTCAAAACTATAATAAAATTTTAATTTTTTAAAAAGATGCATCATTTAATTCTTTACGAAGACATATTGAACATCTTTCTATATACCTTAAAAATAAGAAACTATGAAAGAAATACTGCGAATCTGTAATCTCGAGTATTTTCCAGTCGAAAAAACACCGAGAAACAAATTTATTTTGAACACGTTGTCATACGTCAAGGTGAACTAGAATATATGTTCTGTCGCTACCGCGTGTCATCTTTCTTTTCGTATACCATAGGTTAGCTTCAAATGTCTTTTTCTTAAACAAAAAGCGATTTTTACAAAAATGCATTCTGAAAACAAGAAAAAATGATTTTTTCGGCTCAGCATAGTAGAAGTAACGGAACTATTCAACTTTTTGTGTTCGGATGTAAAAGTAGAGCTATTTTCCTTCAAAATAAAACAAATTTGACCTTAGAATGTTCGATTTTGGCCCAGTTACAAAAATTGTCTCAAGTGTCTCAACATTTCAATCTGAAATGATGATTTCTGGCAAGACGAAAAAAAGAAAACAAAATTCGCTGCCAACCGCTTTTAATGGCAAAGAATTTAATATATTATCAGTCAATACAGCGTCCAGAAAATACTCGAGATTACAGATTCGCAGTATTTCTTTCATAGTTTCTTATTTTTAAGGTATATAGAAAGATGTTCAATATGTCTTCGTAAAGAATTAAATGATGCATCTTTTTAAAAAATTAAAATTTTATTATAGTTTTGAACGGACATATATGGGAAACAAAAAAATGAGCAATCATCTTGGGACACCTGTTACATTAAAGAAGAAACACTAATGTGCGCGATTTTCAGAAGGCATTAGCACAAAAACCTACATTTGCCATGCAAGACATAATGAAAATATGGAAAAGCAACATTATTTACTAATGGTTTTGAACACGTCTTCAAAACAAATAATAAAACACAAATATTCTTTCATCACAAAAATAGATTAGTGCTTTTGGAAAACACGCATGTTATACGGCCAACTTCAATCACAATAATCACAATAAAACAAATTATATAAATCCATTTAAGGAGTATGCCCCAAGGATCAGACATTATCTATCACTATTGTTTGAAAAACTAGACAAAACTGTCGCTCAAATATATGCAACTATCATTTAATAGTAGCGATCAAATCAGATTTGTTCTCAGTTACAGAAAAAAGTTCAAATGGTGCTCATCCTGAAAAAAGACAAATGGAAAATAAAGTACCGATTTACAGACCTTTAAATCTATTATTAAGTTTGTATCGGTTAGTTATTGCAATGTATCATTAAAAGTAATTTACCATTAGTAAATCGTATAATCAGTAAAAGAAAATAAGTGGTTGTCAAGTGAACTATATGGCTTCCGGTCTCGTAGATCAACAATAAATAATTTATTAAACTCACACTTTGGAAGTCATACAGAGAAATCAGCATGTAAATGTAAAAAAACTTGTGTTGTAGTAAAAAGAACCAATGGTTTCTGAACCAAATGTCGAAGGTAGAAGCTAGAAGTATAATAAAGATCTTCTGTTCATGATTCAAGAAAGAAATAAACCATAATAGTATTGAATTTGTCAATCAATTCATAGTAAAAAATATTGTGTCACATTTTGTGTCGCAGCTCCTGTGAGAAAATTGTGTCGCAAAAGAATGTGTCGCATAATTGTGTTGCCGTTACTAAGAACTTTCAGACACAGTTCTTGAGGTCATTTCAGGATCTGCTCTCTTCAAAAAATTGCTAAATTTTATGTTTTACTATTTTCAGCAGTCTTCATTAGTATTTTTCTCGGCTTCTTTTCAATTTTGTTGTGCTATAGGCGGCGCTAATACGTAAAAGATAAGAAAATTTTCGAACTCTTTAGGTGTTTTCAATTTCGAATTGATGTTTTTAGTGGATAAAGATCCCTCTCTTGGTCTTTTTTAACTATTTTCTACGTTAAATATTTTTTCTCTAATGAAAAAGAACCAGTCAGTGGCCTTGACTACGCCATTAATCCCAGATCTCGGAAACTAAATATTTTGAAGGCTCGTGAATATTACCGGCGGATTGAGCTTGTTGACATTACTGAGAGCATCCCAAAATGCAGGGATGTGGCGAAAGAAAAACAGTGGGGGGGGGGGGGGGGAAATTGTGAAGAAAAAGGAAATTTNCCCCCCCCCCCCCCCCCCCCCCCCCCCCCCCCCCCCCCCCCCCCCCCCCCCCCCCCCCCCCCCCCCCCCCCCCCCCCCCCCCCCCCCCCCCCCCCCCCGCAATAGTGAAGATCAACGTCATATGATCTTTTTTCTGATAGTCGGTTTTTCAAACGAGCACTCTGAAAAACTAACAATTTTTGATAATTTTGTTCTAAACCTATGCATATAATCTTCTCAACATAATCTAATGCATCAATCTACAGAAAGATCATTTATTCAAACATTGTAACGTTGAGATCTTATCAGTAAAAGCTCTATAGCAAATCTACTAAAAAAAAAGTGGAAGGATGCGCAACTAAAACTGGATGAGAACTAGCAAAAATACGACAAAAATTTCATAACGAGTGACATCAACTGTGATTCCAAAGTGCGTTAATTACACATACATCCTTCCTCGATCCTTAGATGAAGAAGGCATATCATCATTATTGTGGATTCTATGATACGTTTGTATACACGTATCACAGAATCCGCAATTCTTTACGGTTCGTCACCATTTGAAAATGCTGTCAAAAAATACTGCATGGATTACAAAGGATCACTCATAAATTATTAGCGATAGCTCTAAAAAATATTGCGTTATACACTCACAATATGTGCACAAAACGGACTACCTTCAACAATATATCTCTAAAGTAATGAAAAATTTTGTCCTAAAAATCCTTGAATCAAAAGAAGAGATGCTGGCAGGTACTTTAGGCGATACACAATAATGCAGGAAATAAACACTTGAAACTCATAATTACGTAAAAGATGACAGAGTGTGAGACATCTGTTACATTAAAACAGACGATTATATTCAAATATCTGGAGTATATTTTCAGTGATAAATTAGTGTGATAAAATATGATGAACAAAATCATTAGACAATCGATGATTCGTTTGTTGAAATTAAGTAGCTTACCTGATTTTCCTATTGATTCAATAAGTCGACATTGTTTTTATGCATATAGTCTCCTTTTTCACGGATTATTACGCTACCTATAGCTCATCAAAATTGAAGAGAAGCCGCGAAAAATCCTAATAAAGACTATTTAAAATAGTAAAACATAAAATTTAGCAAGATTTTTAACAGAGTAGATCCTCAAAGGGGCTCAAGAACTGTGTCTAGAAAACAGATCGTAGAGTCAGATCGGATTCCGTCTGGCCTTCTGAATGTCAGTCGGGGTTGGGTTACGTTTTCTCAAGCCGTGCAGGATCCGGCTTTGCAATATTTATACAATAAAAGAAAAATAATTCAGACCTCAACGATCATTGCCATAAGTATTGATCAAAAAAATCGAACGCAGGGAACTGAAAAGAAGAAGAATTAAAAATAGATCCCTCGAAAATGAACAACAAAAATGAATTTTTCAATACACTTAAAGATCTGAGTTTTACAAAAGAACTTATAGCCCATATAGGGAACTCCCATATCAACGATGCGGCAGCTATAATAACCTTGAACAAGTTACTCATGTCTTAATCTCTCAGATTAACCGCTCGACTGTATATTCACTATATTGTGACGTACAATGTAAGTTCTTTGGCTAGTTCACATAGCTTTCGAGAAAGCTAATACATGGTTAGTGAATGTGTACTCAAGCAATTGGACGAAAACAGCTCTGTATCTAGCTAGTCTTCTGACCAGAGCTTTCGTTGATGATTCGTAACGATATGGGTGCCTATATCATGAGTTTGTCAACTGTAGGGAAGATATCGGGCTAGTAAAACTGCCATTCAGCAGAACCTTGCACCAATAACGATAGCCGCAAGAGGAATACTTCACCCTTCTTCCTTGAAACTGTACATTTTAGGGTCTAGTTAATAACAGATTCTAATCTCTATTTCGAACAAAGGTTCGATTAAAAAAACTACATAGTTCTGGAGATAATAAGAAACTCTCTTTTAAAAATTTTCAACGAACTTATCTAAGTTCCCTACACGGGACAAATGAAAACTCATTCTAAGTTCTCCAAAGTCTGTAAATTTTTCACTGTGTAACCAGCTTACCTATGTAAGGTTAAAACAGGTATTTCCGCCGAAGTTAATAGTTGTTTCAGACACATTATCACTTCATAGAAAATGAGAATAAATTGCTATCTAACAAATTTCTTCCTAATTTATGCTATTATTTGATACCGCGCAGAATAGCTGTTGTTATGATGAAATAAATAGTCAGAATAATTTATCTTATGTTTTTGAAAAATTTTTATTTTTGCTCTTCAATGCGCACAGTTAAAGAACGTGTTGATCTACTACTGAATAGTCTTAATCATGCTGTATCAATGTTAGTTGAAGAACGATCACTTCCACCGCCAAACACCACAACACAAAGAAGCAGTAGATCAATAGCAGAAAAAACTAATAAGAAAACAATTGTTAGTCCTAGTTTACTTCGAGCAGATTTAAAATATAAGGAAAATACTAATAGAAAATCAAAGAACAATAATAAATATTTTAAAATGAAGAATTTGAAATTTATAAAAACTAAAAACAGTACTGCAGTTCAACGAAGAAAATCGGTTGATAGAAGACCAAAACGCCTGCAAAAAAATGGAGGATTATTTAAAAAAATAATTGCAAAAATAGCTGTTAAAACTAACATAAACAGTAAGAGAAATCAAAATAAACCGAAAAATATTAGAAGTTCAAAATAAATTTATTCTTTTTGAAGAAATATAAAAAGAATTCGTACACGACAAACAAAACTTTCGGTTTTATTGACAGAATCATCGTTAGCTAGAAACATTTAACGAGCACACACGGACTATATATATATATATATACACATTTTTTTCGTGTTCTAAATGTCCAATAGAGATATTTGACATAAGCACTGAAAATAATTAATTGTCTATGTCTGTATTGAGACATTTTTTTAAATGTGACTATATTATGGTGGTAGTTCGGCGTTTGTTTGACTCATAATATGCGTAACATTTCTCTCAAGATCATCAATTCGTTTACCCATTTCATCCACTGAATATAGTTAAGAAAAATAAAACCTTGCCAGACCAGCCTCTTATGGGGCTAAAATGGTGAAACTCCTCAAAAGTTGTTGAATAATTAGTTTGAGACGATGAGACCATTAGGGAGCGAGGTGGAGAGGAGATTAAAAAAATGGATAAAATCAAGGACTTTCAAGTATAATCTTCAACTCCTCTTTCTTTCGGAGATATAGGAGAAGTTTCACAAAAAGACACGGTACTTTTGTGAGAGAAACGCACATCGTTTCGTTTTAAAGGATACTTCGCGTTATTATTGAATCGGACATTTGGGAAAATTTATCTTGTACTTGTTCAAGTGTCTTTTGAATCTAGAAGAGAGAAAAAATAAAGCTACGATAAGGTATAAAAAATTACATGTATATAAAAATACCAAGTTTACAAGTTCTTGTGCATTTTTTGGCTCATGCGATGATGAATAATCTTTTAAATTGATTGTAGACATTTTCCGTATCTAGATTGAAATAAAAAAAGTTAAAATCAAGAAAAAGGATTTCATTGTGAAGAATTATCGACTACGAACTTAATGAGACTTCCTTTAATTGACTTAAAGGACTCGATTTAATTGACTCGATTTTAAGATAATCTTTCTTATAATTCTAAATAATGTTATTTGGAGCTTTCCTGGTTCAATTATGGAGGATCTCTAGTCTCACGTCTGAGAAAAAGAAGACTTTAAAATTATAAGATCTAAATAGGCAAAAGAGAGAGAATCTCGCCTCTTGCACTTCCAATAGAGGAATGAAAAAAAAATGAGCGTTTTACATGTTTAAGTGTGTTAATAAAATCACTTAAAACAGTTAATCTTTTTTTTCCTTTCCAGTTAAGATCATTCACGTAAAATCAAACTTCTACCTTTTGTGATTTGCTATGCAAGAAAAAAAAGAAGTGAAAATGTTATGGTTCTTGTCTTTGTAAAACATATACTCATAAACGCAGAAATAGACGACAGAACAAACACTTTTGCTGTCATGCAACCATTATTTTCATATGTTCTGTTAGTACTCTTTTATCAGACAACTTTTCTATAGTTTACTTTCTTTTTTTATTTTGTGTTATTTGAAATATTATTCCTCTTTTTGTCGAGTACGTAAATTCACCAAATAGACGTTTATCATAATTAAGCCATGTCACTCACTCTATTATATTCAACGTTGTCAGAACTTGAAAAGGTTCACGATATTCATTTGCACATAAGATAATAATCCTTACAGAAAATAATGTTCTTTTACTCATTGCTTTAAATTTATTCAAGCAATAACCATATTAAAAGTTGTACAAGAAAATCTGACTAGAACATGAACTTCTGTAGTTGATATTGATATAAACAAATCTACTATAATATATATACAGAGTATTTGAGGGTAAAATGAATCACAATTATCGTCATATTTTTATACTTATAATTCTTGTCAAGATTTAGGATCATCTCGTCTCATTTCGTGCAGCATTATATTAATAGAACATTTAATTGCACAAAAATCTATATGCGAATAGGTGTTGATTACCAGTATTATAACAAAAAAGACTTCCCTTTTTCAAATTACATTTTTAATAACAAATTATTCGATACGTGTCCTATTTGAATGTCTTTTAGATGATATTATTCGTTATGTTTAACTGTCATCACCATTAAATGGTTGTGGTTCATGAGATAAATGTCAAAATTATTTCGTTTGTCAATACTCTAAAAAGGTGTTAAACGTAATCTCTATCTTTAATTATTTAAGAAATATATTTTCTATAGTTATAGCCTTATGTAAAAATAATGAAATATCCGACTCTTTATTAAGAGTTTGAGCAATACATTAAGTAAATATATCTCTTTCAATTGTCGAATTAGTTCTAATCAAAGAATTAGAATTAGATAACGTCACGCGAATTGAAGAATAATAATGGTGACAATATGACATGAACGGATACCGCTTCCTTTTAGAAAATTCAACGAACATGATATTACAGGATATAACAGTATTCCACATGATAATCATATCTTGATAAATTATTCATTTCATCTTTCCAAAAGCGCACTTAAACACTTGAGCATAATTTTGTATTATGAGCGTATCAAAGAAGTCTCAGAAACTCAAATCAGACTGTGTAGAGCTCTTTTTCAAGATAACCTGATGAGCTCTATCCAAGTAGCACAAAAAAAAATAAATGAAAAAACTTCACTCAAATGTTGAAATAGCCACACCTTACAAACCATAGAATTTTCAGATAAAAAATATTTTTATTCAAGTTGAGCTATGGATTTTTTAATATCGCAATAGGAGGGCGATTTTGAACAACTTTTAAAAAGAAATTCATTTTACTGATATTTAAAACGTTTTCTAGAATAATAAATCTATCAGAGATATTTGATTAATCGATTTTTCTGACAATTATACTATTAAAAAGTGAATTTTTTCATAAAACTAAGCGTCTATATAAAAATAGGTCATTCAAACTCCATTCATTTGATAATCACAGAATTGAAGACTTATGGTGCCACAATTACAACAATTAGTTGGCTGCGTTCGCTTTGAAACGTACCGATTTCTTGCTATTACACCAAATTTTTCATGATTTTACGATGTAAGTACAGCCAGTTGAAACAGATCTTATCTATTCTTGCGAATAATTCTTATCACATATTGGTTACATCTTCTCTAACGATTCTCATTCATTTCATCAATATCGATCCCATCAGTATTAAATTTTATTTTTTATCTCGTCAAAACAAAAACTTATAAAAAAAAACAGAAAAATACAATGGCTCAACAACAGTTCAAAAGAAGAAAAAAAAACGTGACAAAATTGACACTTTCTGACAATAAAAGAGAGATGTATATATTACGCAATAACGAACTTACGCATAGTTCAATTGATGACGCTAATTCATCCTTTTTTTCCAAGATGTAAAAAAGAGATCTGCCCTTCAAAATAAAAACAATTAGTTAAATCAAGACAAACTTTTCAAAGAAAAATGTAAAAGAATAATGAACACAAATTTTTTGTAAAGTCATCTGGTTGGTAAAGACAAGACGTACCCTCAACAATAACGACAACAAACGTAAGAGCCTCAGTCTCCTAAAATAAAAACCGAATTTAATACCACAATCGAAAACAAGAGCAACAACGTTTTGATGGCTTTCTCATGTTCGTTCGAAATACATGCGGTAAGAATATGGCAAAAAAAAGAAAAACAATAACAAACTGGTTTAGTGGAACAACGTGCTGTACATTCGAGTATTGATCATAATCTTTTTATTTGCACCAAACCAAATGGACGATAATAGAATAAAAACCGAAGAAGCTAAAGAAGTATACGAATAAAATAAACGATTGGCAGAGAAAAAAATGTTTGTACAACAGGCCTTCTATATATACTGTTCAAAAGCGAGATAAAGCAAAAACAACAACATAAATTAACGTTATCAACTCTACTATTCACTTGAGCTATTTGAAAATTGATATTCTATATATGAAATACATCAGAAAACAGAAAGAGAGTGAGAGAAAATATAAATAAATAAAATAGAGAGAAAACAACAAAATTCAAAATGAGATCGTGAAAACATCTTTAATAATCCATTATTAAACGTGATTAGAAGAAATGATGTACAGTCTAGAATCAGTTAAGATTTTCATTCTTATTATTTTCAATGTAATATGCGCATTGTTGGTATTGGATGTTGTGGATAAATAACATTCAATTCTCGATCTTCACTACTATATCGTTTACTATTGTAACGACCCCAAGGATTTCTATTTTGATCATGAGTTTGATTCTGTTGTTGATGTTGATATGGATATTGAGAATATCGATTATAGTGGTGATAATATTCATCTAATTCACGTTGGTGATAGTCTTCCGCTGAAGAAGCGGACGATTGTGGTGATGGTAAAGGATAAACGTATTCAATAACTGTTGTTTCTATTTTTCTACTTGGTGGATATAGTATGTTGTTCGCAGGAGGTGAAATATGCGATCGTGGTAATGGACATGGTTGTCTACGTCGTGCTTTTTCGGTGTCTGATGATGATAAATAGTTATCATTTGAATTTATTTGTTGTGGTTGTTGTGGTTGATGCTCCTGTTGATTGGCATAGGCTGGAATGAATTTTCGTGGACGAGGGGATGGTGGTTTCACCGGATAACTAATTTCAGACAGAGATGATGGTGTTTCCAAAACAAATGAATGATGAGATTTTTTTGGTTGTTGATATTTTTTCTCTTCTTCGACGCAATCATCTTTACTAATATTTAACTGTTGAAATGGTAGAACCTCTGCTAGTCCATGATCAGACATTTTTGTATTATCAGCTGGAGGTGACATCATATTTTGTTCATCAAAACGTTCATAATCATCAAATTGTTGAGAATCAGCACTACGTCGACGATAAAATAAAATATAAGCATCTGGTGTGCAAACTTTATCTTCGCTAATTTCATAACATAGATGATCATCATAACAATACCATTTATCTGTACATGGATTTTTACAATAAGCTAAAAGAAAATCTTTATTTAGCATAAAAATAGATAGCGACAACAATAATGATAGAGTATCAACACAAGAAGGAAACAAAAGACAAGTAACAATAAAGTTTCGAATATTTTTTGAGAAAGAGTTAAATCTTTCAAACGCTACTTAAAGAAAACATATACCGGTATAGTGTCCACCAGACATGTGTCCACGATGATTGCAAACAGCAAATAAATCGTATACAGATAAATCTGTCTGACACATTTCGCCATTGTCATCAACAATATAATCTTCATTTTCCTCGTCTTCTTCGCCACCACTATCATTTCCATCGTTCATTAATAATTTTGGTTTACTTTTTTTTGACAAAAATTTGCTGACATCCAAATTAACGAGTGGAAAATGAATAGGATAAGTAATTTTTGAATTTGATAATTTTGTTTGACAAAAACGTTTCAAATGAATAATTAGAATAGGTGGTGTAGTCCATATACTAAGATTTTTTATTGTATCATTTTCTTTTCGTTTACAATTTGTACAATACCAAGCATTATCGTGTGTTAATATTTCTTCTTGTGTAAACAATGAAAAACAATCCGCTAATGTAATAGGTGCAGCTGATGAGGGTGTTAACAATAATTTGGCTTGTTGAACAGAATTATGAATATCGGGTTTATCGTCAAATTTTGCTATAAATTGACTAATATGCTTTTCATCCCAATCAGCATAGACTTGAAGATGACTGAAATAAAAAGATGACCGTTAGATTATCTTTTATTTAGACGAAGAATACACAAAAATTGTTGACTAGAATATGGGGTATCATTTACCTTGGACCGGCAAACGAAATCGAGGATGCATCAAGAATTTCAACAATCTTTTCCAAATATAGAGGCCATTGAACATCATGCGTAATAGGATATTCAGTAGCATCATTATCTAAGGTTTGTTGTTGATACTGATCAATCAGAAATAATTCAAACAAGACAAAATTTTGTGCATGTTCGACTGCTTCATCTCGGATGTTTGAACGTTGTGCTTTAATTATGGATAATTGCAATGTGCGATAATTTGATACGCGTGGTACACGTACAGCTAAATAGAAATGATAATTTTTTATGTTTACAGAAACAAATATCATGTATGCTAATACGTGAAAGATCACACAAAATCGCTAATCGTAAAATATACTTCAGATGTTAGAGTCTGATAAGAAAGTAACATTTCTTATTAATTTCATTTAGCAAAATGCAATTTACGTACAGATTGGTGCACCAAAACGATCGACTTGGCCATCTTTATAACGTATTCTATTTAACACAAGTAAATTGACATAATTGCTAATTGATGTAGTGGCTTGCGTGGCAGGAGGACCAGGAATAGAAGATGCTGATGGTATTATATTATCAATTGTTGATGGTTGTTGTACTGTTTGTGAGTAAAACTGAATAGCATGTACATCTTGATTTAAATGAGACATTGGCTCAGAATCATGGAATAATTGAGAAAATCCATTGGATTTTATTTCGACAAGAGCAAGCTAAATGGAAAAATATTTATTTTAAAATAAAATAATCGTAGTTGTTAAAACAAAATCATACATACATCATTTGGTTCTAAATTGGAATGTTGTGCAATAGCTTGTCGTACATCTTTGACAGAATTTGTTATTGGTAAACAGAGACCAATTTGTAATTGTTTCGGAGATTGATTTAGAAATACAACGGTAACAAAGACAGCTTTGACAATTTTCTGAGGTATTGGTAATGAAACACATAGATACGGTTCAAATGTTTTACTTTCTTTTTTACATTGATTGCATCGCAATGTTGAATGTAATTGAGCACAGAATGTGGATGTAATCACACTTTGATTTAAATCAATATAATCATTCCAAGATTTTTTAGCTAAATCATCACTAAGAGATGATGTGGTAGCAGCAGATAATGCAAAGGAAGATGAATTCTAGAAGAAAAAGAATGATATTATACAAATGTTGACTTCATAAATAACAAACTTCTAACAAGTATATGCATGTTAAACATAATCAAGGACAAAGATGATAATATTTTCGGAATTCATTCTTACTTTTGTTTGTTTATTTTTATTTTGTACTTTAGCTAAATTTAGTTCATCATGAATTGTATTCATTAACCATAATAAAAATTCCTGTGCATCATTTTGTTCATTACCCAAATATTGTCGATTTAAATTTCCAATTAATGTTTTAAATTCATACGATAATTTTGATGTACAATTATTATTATTATTCCATAGAGCTTGAAAAATGTGTACAAATGCTTTTGTTATTTTAAATTGTTGTTGTGATTTTAGATTATGATTATTTGTATATTGATTAACTGATAAAGATGATAAATAATTCGTATCTAAAATATTCTTAATATTTTTCATATCCGTTTCATACGTTTTATTCAATATATAATCACCAATTTGTTCTGTATGACATAAACAATGGACAATGGCATTTACATAACAACTATTACCACAATTTTTTAGACCGTACATAAATGGTGGTGTTTGTAAAAATCGTCGTGATTTTCGTCGAATATCAAGTCTAGATAAGGAATTTCGACGAGGTATCGTATTAGTATCATTAACAGTATTACAATTATTTGTATTGGTATTCTGAATTTGTTGTATCTGATTTCGATTTCTAACATTTAAAATTGGAGATGTTGGATCATTGATCGCTGTTGAATAAGATTGATAATCTTTTTTTGGTGGAAAATTGATCAGACGTTTTAATCGATATAAGAGAGAACGATGTTGTTTATTTGAACGATTAAAATATGAAGAATAAGACGAAGAATAGCCACTTGACGATGTGGATGATGAGGAAGCGGCGGTATTTGTTTTGTAAGATGGAGGTGGTGGAGAATTATACGACGATGTTTGAGGTGAGTTTAACTGATTAACAACAAAATCAACTGAACCAGAATTCATTGAATTACAAGTGATATCTTGAATATGTTTGAATGATTGATTTATCGATGATTTACTAAACAAAAAAGAAAAAACACAGTATAATAACCATCAAATGCCTATTATAACCGTTAGTAAGAGTAATGATAAAAAACCTGTTTGATGCAAAATTATTCTTAATAAAGTATTTTATTGAAATTTGGATATGATATATAATTATTCTATGTTTTTGACATATATCAAACAGGTGAAAGTAACTAAAAACATAAAATTCTTGTCTTTTTTTTTGTTTCAGCATAGCACTAGAACTACAAGACAATGCAGCTCTTCGGTTATCATAATGTCAAAGAGAATACGAATGAATAAATAGTGCAAGAAAATGTTTAAGTTTTTTATAGCTTTTACGTTGCATATGTCTTAATAACTCTCTCAATGCAACGATGTCAAACAAACGAGTGAAAATTGACAATAGAATTTTTTTCTAATTAAACAAATAACTCAAAAATTATACCTGACATCAGCTGCATCTTTCATTGATAAACCCGTCTTCGAGTTTGTTGTATTCGTGAAAGCATTTGGACAAATTGGTATAGAATGTTGTACCATCGTTTTCAAAACGAAAATATAAATAAGTAAGAGTTTAACCTTCTCTCATGATATCAGAATTGTTGATTTTTCTTTCAAAACAATAACATATAATCTAATGAAACGAAACAATACAATATATAAATTATCAAACGGCCCACTATGTTCTAATTAACTATAAGAGTGTTCAAGAAAACATGACTGAAATATAAACAGAAAATTCGGATCAAACAAACTAGTTTGCTTTAAGTTCACAATTTGCATCAGTAATCGGAAGAAAAAGACATTTTTTCAATTATTATCTAAACAAACTAAATATAAAATAAATAATATTTTTTGTGATACCATAATTGACATACGTGAACCACTCACTTCACAAATGCATGTGTTTTTTAGCTTATCTATGCACTATCATATGAGTGGCGTACCCATTCGCCTTGAAAATTGTTTTGATTTATCGTGAGACCTATGTGTCACGAAAAATATTGTAGCTTGGAGAAAATACAGAAAAATATTCTCGAAGAAAGGAATTTTTTTTGATAAATTACTAATACGTCTTTCTATTCCTTTAGAGTGAGTGATATCATATGAAATAAATATTAGACAATAAACTATTTTTAAAAGTTTTATAGTACTTATTGTACTACACTATTTAAAATGGTTCAAAACCAAATTTTGATCATTCGACATATTTCTTTATGCATATTATTAGTACTAGTAAATAAAATACTGAATCTCTCACCGTAATTGTAAGAACTGTCATAGAAATTCACTTTATCAGTCTTGTACGAGTTCACATTCATTTTTCTTGATAAAAATGACTCTACTCTGGTGTTTTGCTTTACTTTAAAGCTGTAGTAGACTTTTTTTGTTGATGATTTAAAGATTCTAGGTGCACACAACTTATCATACAACGATTTGATTTCCTTGTTGTATTATTTCTGCAATGAAATTGAAACATGCGTTGTATTTTGTCTTTTAGATACTTTTTCTTTGTTTATTCATTAATATAATCACAAAGTTAAACTCTTAAATTAAAATGCCGAAAAATAAGGGTAAGGGTGGTAAAAATCGCCGGCGAGGTAAAAATGAAAATGATGATATTAAACGTGAATTAATAATGAAAGAAGAAGGACAATCGTACGCTCAAGTCACACGTATATTAGGTAATGGACATTTGGAAGCATTTTGTTTCGATATGAATACGGGTGGTAAAAAACGTTTATGTCATATACGTGGTAAACTAAGAAAGAAAGTTTGGATAAATCAAGGTGATATTATATTAGTTGGTCTACGAGATTATCAAGATGATAAAGCAGATGTTATTATGAAATATTTAGCGGATGAAGCAAGAGAATTAAAACGAGTTAAAGAAATACCTGATAATATTAATATTACAGAAACAAGTACGTTTACAACAGATGGTTTAGAAGAAGTTGTCTTTGATGAACGTTATAATGGTGAAGGATCGAGTGTAGAAGATCCAGATAGTGGACCAGATGATGACTTAGATGGAGATGAGGATGATCAATCAGGAGCTTTTCCAAAAAGTGGTAATCTTAATCAACGTAATTTAATCGCGAAAAAAGATACTGGCAAAGGTGCCAAAAATAATAGACGTCAACAAAAAATCAGTGATAGTGAATCAGGTGAAGATGACGAGTTGGGGCATATCTAGAGAATGTAAAAGAGATAGAGCGATAGGAAAAAAAGATGTTGGTTAGTTTATGTAAATAAAGATGTGCGATATCTTTCTTTTTTTTAATGTTCAGTTTGTTTATCCTAGGAAAGCCTCTTTTTTTCTTGCTGTAATTAATGTGTTTTTTTGTTGAGAAGGACAGTGTAATACTCATCTCCTGCAACGTCCTATTTTTGCTGTGACTATTTTTCGTTTTAAAGTGTATGTATCGTCAATGGTTTGCATATTTATGATTCTTTAACAACGATCACTGATTAAAAATAAACTGAAATATATGCAAAAGAAAAAAAACAAATGTGTAAGTTTTCTTGATGGTATGACGTTGTGTTATCAGATCGAAACATATTTACCAGAAATTTTGCTTCATTCATTAATATCTTTTGACTATGACTATTGTTTTCATACAAAAATCAGACTCGTGTAAAATGATGACTAAGATAATTAACAGTCTTGTATCAAGACGTCTAAAACAATATTTATTTGACTGATATATTGACCTGTGATAGACTGAAGTAACATATCAAATTCAAAAGAAGAATATGTGAAATAATCTTGCAGTGTTCATTTTTAAGTTGAAAATTGACTGTGTTAAATTATTCTAGGTATATAAAAGTGTGTAGATCAAGCCTGTAGCCAGGAGGGGTGCGCGTTGTATTCGGGCACATCTCATAAGTAAAAATTGCTATTTAACTGCTAGGAATCAGAATCGGTACAATCAACAAACAAAATGAAAGAAAACTGGTATATCGATTTACATCTATAATGCACTTCCCTTAGCAAAATTCTGGCTATGGGTCTGGTGCAGATATTAATATGAAGGACGCTTACATTTTATTCTAAAATATATTGTACGAACAATGATTTTATTTTTATACTAAAAGATCAATACCTAGTTTTGTTTTTTAATAAATGAAGAACAACTAGACACATATATACAACTAAAATAAAGATTTTTTTCAATAGTTAAATAATTGGAACAATTTTTTTCGTTCGTCAAGTAATTGACAATGGTTATTGATGTCAAAATAAAACTTATTATTTTAAAATGAGATTGATGGTAATTTAATATCTTTTATTTTTTGCGATAAATTCATATCTTTAACAGCCATCATTGCTTTAGCGGGTGCTGCCGATATACCCGCTTCTTGTTTTTCTAATTTTGTTTGTTCTTCAATACGAGATACAATTTCATTCATATTTGTTTCTAATACCATACCACCTAAACATATTTCTTGAAGAATATAATGAACTTTGTCAACATGAAATATTAAATCTAATTCACAAACATTCTAAAAAAATAATAAATAAAAATAAATCATTTATTTATTATATGAATATTAAAACACAAATTACCTCAAAACATTTATCTAATGTTTCTACAAAAACTTGAATTAGATCGAGTATGCCTAATTCACTTTCACTACTATCAACACAAAATATAAAATAAAGTGTTGCATAATGTCGATAAATTAACTTATAATCATTTCCACCAATAAGTGTACCACCTTCCAAGAAATTGCATACATTATCATCACGTTTTGATACTAAATGATATGTTTCACGTACAATTTGTTGTTGAATATCTTCGGTATAATGTTCAAAAAATTTAATTAAACGAGGTTTTCCTAAATAATAAAATGCACTATTAGAAATATTAACAAAACCTTTTATGTCTGAAAAAGAAAATCTTACCGTGATTATTAAACACTAATATAGCTTTAATCATCTTTCTTCTTCTTTGTAAACACCAGTCTAATATCAAGATTTTGACTACCACTAATAAGTTAATATCATCTGAAATAAGTTGATAATTGTCAACTCGTTACACTGCACTCTCAAGCTCTGAAGATATAAAGATTCCAGTTTTGGAAGTGAAGGAAAACTTGTTCTGGATTTAGAAAATTCCACAGAAAGTAATTTTATCGAAATTTTTTTGGATCGACGTGCTAAAGTTATATAATAGCAGATTCTAATGTTGCATAAAGAACACCAACATGATCTTCATCTGATAGCATCCGTTCAATCCGGTGTTGACGGCATAGATTCTATCTCTCAATGTGTTAAGTTTCAATTCTTTGAATTGAATAAATAAGACAAAATAGGAACCGAGAGAGACCTTTCAGCATCTGAAAACTGGCCGTGAAGATGGAAGCACACGGCGTGACAATGAATCATCACACAGTATTTCATCTTTAGTTATAGTTAGCTGTGTGTGAGAAAGATAAGGGTTCGTTGCCTTTTTCAAAATCTCTAATTTAAACTAATTTATGAGTGTTTTGCGCTTCATTCATTCTCCAAGACGTGCTGAATTGATTATGATATTGAGATAGTTGAGTACTGAGGATTTTATGTCTCGAAGTCTTGTATTTTACTCGATATATTTAATAATAAATAAAACTGAACGCTGACACCGCTCAAAACTTGATAATGAAAATTTTATATAAGAATGAACCGAACTAAACTTATTTAATAAATTTCTATCAATCGTTGCTATCTGCCGGTACTTCAATTTCGAAGTGCTCAGAGATCGAATAGAATCGCAAGTGTGTGATTCGAATCCAACCTGACGTGCAGAAAAACTCGTTTAGAATTTGTCCCGAATCATCCGAAAATTTTTCTTCTGTGATCCGATAATAACTCGAACATGGAAACCGTGTTTCTGGATGGTACGTTGTCAAAGTCTAATCAGAAAGAATAAAATTCACCGAACGCCTTTCCTCCATAAACAAAGACACGTGTTCGAAAATAAATGAATCAACGGCAACCGACGAAAATTATCTCTTTTGTTTTCTAGTGATATGATCCGAATAAAGCCCGAAATATCGTTTTCCTCTGATCCGAATCCGATCCGTTTTAGTCTCTGCTGTGTATACTTTCGCTGTTTCTCAGAATAAAAGTCAATTTCTTTGTTTGATTATTCATTTATTTCTCTAGTATGTTCAGTCCAACATTACTAACAAAAATTCATAAAGAAAAAAAAAAGTATCTCAAACTGAACTTGAATAACTTGCAAATTTTTATCATTTTTATGCATCATTAACAGAACTACAAAGCTATGATGTTTCTAAAACTCATTTAACGCCCATTTTCATTATGATGAATGTTGTTGTGTTTTCTTCTTGATTTTGTACCGTTCCGACTGAATTTCTACAAACCACATGAAATACTAAAGTAGAACATCTCGTTGATGGTAAAAAGTATTGAGTTAACTCGCTTCTCTTGTTTGACGAAGTTTTTTATAGTCACGTTGATCATTTCGTCTATACTTTCGTCTTTATTTTAGTCTAAAACACACCCGTTTATTGCGCATCATAATTGAAATAACACGCTTGACCTGTTTCTATAATTAGAAATTAATAATTATTGATATTTCGACTTTTTAAAATTAATAGTAACTTACCTTTGATGGTATTTAATTGTTTATCATCAAGAATCCCATTGATCGTTAAATAAAATTTTCTAACATAAGTGCTTAATAATTTTCTTGGTTCATCAGTTCACATATTGTGTTAAATTTATTCATTTAATATCTACAAAATAAAAGAAAAAAGAGGCAATCATAAATTGATGGATTCATTTGCTTATAAATGTTCTCATTTTTTTTTTCAACGTTATTTTCTGATAAATTCCCTAGTAAAACATACCATAGCATAATCTAATAAAATAACTAACTAGAGTTGCAAATCTGCTAAAATGTAACATTTGTTCCATTACTTAAGATCATGTTTCATAGGGTTAACACAAACTTAAATTTAAACTTAACTAGACTTTGATCAAATACTTGGAATTAAGTTAACTTCTATCTACGATTAAGTTGAGATTTAAAAAACTATTTGAGAATATTAATATAACGAATCCTAGTAGTCGAAGAGAGTTTTATGTAGTTCTATAGAGCCAGTATAATATTACCTAAAAATATGAAATACCAAAAACATGTTATTATATTTTTCTGCGAAAACATGTATATTAATCCTTGTTTTCAAGGTTTAAAAATAAAATTAGTGGAGTGTAACGAGTGATTATTATGTCATTTTTTAATATTTACATAAGTTGTACAAAATACATTTAATCGATTTTAATTCTTAGAATAAAAAGTAAGATATTTGTATTTGTTTTGAAATTTAGGTTTTACACAATTTAACAATGGGAAACAGAACTGTGCGCCCACTAAATGATATAGATGTTCAAGCATTGAGTCGTGTAACACTGTTACAACCGCATGTTATTCAACAATTATACGAAGCATTTATACAAGAGGGTATCATTCAAAAAGGATTAAAATATCTTCTAAATTTGATTTCAAATATCTCTAAGTTCTAAATACGCCTATCTCATCTGTCGTCCTTTAAAAACAATAACAAGGCAGGACCGGGTGGACGGTAAGAACTTCACAGTATATTATTCATAATTCTCCATTAAATGACTAACAAAAGCTTCTAAGTAAAGTAAATGATCTACCTCTCGGATATATTACAGCAAGATCTCTTGACACCTGTTATTTTAAGAACTTTTTTCATATAAACAGAGAGATGTACAGGATGTACAGAGAGAGTGTAGAGATGTGCAGGGTGCCCTTACCCTACCCTGCAGGGTAGAGTAGGACTTCAAAGTCACAGGGTAGGGTAGGACCAAGGCTTTGTCTAAAAAAGATATATCGTCGGTACGACATTGAGGTTGGTCGCTAGCGACAGTTATTTTAAACTCTTTATTTTATCGGATGCAAGACACCCATTTTTAGAATTTAGAAACGGCCGATGACATTATGTTGCTACGAAATTTTAAAAGAAAGCGTTTATCAATATGACTCATTTATTTAAAAAAATAAAGAAATAATTGTAAATGAAAAATTCTCAAATTTTCAAAGGGTAGGGTAGGTAGAGCCAGGGCTTCATTGCTATAGAGTAGGGTAGGGCCAGGGCTCCCTAAACAGTTACCTTGCACATCTCTAACAGGGTGTCTTGCCATAATTTCTTGATGGGACTAAGACTTCTTGGATATAGACTATATTATTTCTAGAGGAGTAGGGAAAATACTCTTTTAACATCTGCTCTTTCGATTAGAATGACGATTAATGAGTTTAAACGAATTTATGGAAATGTGAATCCAATGGCTCAGCCTTTTAACTGGGATGCTGAAGCTGAAAGTGAATTTCTTTCAAAATTTAACACTGATGATTGTTTCTGAAAAAAATTTGTATTTCAGGAATATTTATGATGTTTGATACAGATAGAAATGGTAAGATACAGATGTATTCCACGAATATGTAACATCATAATTAACGCATATACTTTAATTAACAGGTGTTTTAACATTTGAAGAATTTGTTATGGCCTATGTGCTACTTCAGCGAGGTGTTGATCCAGTAACTCGATGGCAATATGTAATGAACGCTATGCCATTATCACGTCCAGGCTTTTTATCACAACAAGAAGCACAAATTCTCTTAGGACATATGCAAAATTTCTACCAGCTTCCAATTGATGTAAATACATATTATAATATGTTATGGAATTCATTACATCAAGGAGGTGGCTATATCAGTCAACCGCACTTTATACAGGCACTTCAGCAAATGCCTGGTATACAACCACTTATTTGGTAGAGTATAGAAATGAAAAAGAAAAAGAAAAACATTAAACTTTAACTCTTATTTATTCACGTACAGACAAAAAAATAACAGTTATAGTTAAAAGAAATAAACAACTTAATCAAATTCCAGCGATTGATTATCATCATCATCATCATGATCATTGTCTTGTCCATGATTTGCATCTCCTTCATTTTGTTGTTGTTGTTGGACAGGCTGAGCAATCCCAATATCTCGTATAAAGTCTCGAATAGATTCTTGAATAGCATTCAACATACCAATATCATTATTTTCTTCCATTCCACCGACAGCTCCTCGTTCATTATTATTTCCATTAGCTTGTGGAACAAGAAAATTCTAAAAGAAACTCGGTTAGTTATATAAACGATTAACTAAAGCTTTGAAGAGTCCATTTTTTAGTACTCTTTCAAATAGTAGACGTAATGATCTTACGTCAAGATTGAAACCAGGTATCAATGAACGAACGAACATTCCCAGTCTATTGTACGAATTACTAATTCTCAGATCCGGTCTAAAAATAGATTAAAATTTTCTAGGATTACAACACATTTGGCAGAAAAAAACTTACCGTTCAGGTCGTTGATAGCAAGAAGTTGAATCTTTCGGTGGAAACGGATCAAAACTATAAAACGTTTGGCCATTTTGAAGATCCTAGAAACAACAATATCAGTGAGTGACACTTCTTTGCATTTTACTTAGGCCTATTTACTGTAGGTAAAAATCCACGTATTTCATTCGATTCAGATAAAACAATATGTCGACATATATTCACTGGAGTTTTTCTATAATTTGTTTCTCGTCTAAAATACAACAGAATTTTAGAGAACAAATGACAATAACAATAAAAAATCGATAAATTATTTTACTTTTTCAAATACTCTTTTGTTGTCGAATCATTTTGTTCTATAATTCGAATTGTTTCATTAACATTTTGTCGTAAAAACTCGATGACATCCGATATTTTCCATTCGTTTGAACATCGAATGGCATAGAGTGTTTGTACACATTTAAGAGCATCTGTTTCACTATAATAACTTTGACTAAAATATTTATTTTTTTCAACATTTCGATCTGGTTGAATAGACATTTTATCGAGAAGATATTTGAATGTTGATGGAAAACGTAGTAATGCTTCTTGTAATTTTAAATTAGCTTGTGATTGATCTTTTGTTTGTTTTGATTGATGATATAAAGCCAGTGAAATTGAATAGGCAAAATTTGGTAAACCATCTAAATTTAAACGATTATTTTGTTCATTATAAAATTTTAATAAAAAATCATATTCTTCTGAACGTAATGCATAATAATCAATAATTAATAAAATAGCTAATGGATCTTGAATTGGATCTAAACTAAATAAAAAAAAATACATTGGAGTAGAAATTGTTGTAGCTTAATAACTCACAGTTAGTTTTATTTATCCAAAGTATAATTTAGCTTTCCAACATCTCTTGTTCATCGTCAGAATTTAACATCAGACACATACAAAAAACATTTATTAAATTCACATACGTATATAGTTAGAAAGAAAGAGTTGGAGAATATAAACTAAAGTTCGTCACCTATCTAGTATAAATACTTTTGACTGAAAAGTTAAATGAACTATAGCGAGAAAAATGACTTATTTTTTCCTTTTGATGTTTGCACTACCCATGGGAAAATTTTAGTGGATACCACGGCGTGTACACCCGTAGACGTCGTGAAACGAAATATGAGCGCAGATGAACATCGTTAAATGGTATGTTGGCGTGCGTAAAAAAATTATTCGCTTATGACCAGTTGTGAACTGTGCACGAAAATTTTTTCCGTTCCATTTTTCGCACGTGGTCACAAGTGAAAAAATATGTGACCATGCGTGAAAAAGTTATCCACCTGTGACCACACGTGAACGGTTCACGAAAATGTGACGTTTCTGCCGCGTGACCACCAATGAAACTCGAGAAGCGTGTAGTGATCGTGCGTGGATTTTTCGCGTTAATATTTTCGTAAAAAAGTTCCACTTGCGAACACGCGTCACAATGTCTAGAACGAATTTTATTATAAAAGGTAGCACTTCACATTAATGTATGTGTAATTTTTCCATGCAGTTCTTTTCTATACACGCTTATCTACAAGTGAAAATGTTTCGATTAGTTAAGACTTAAGTTTTAACTGATTTTCTTAACTAATCTAGAGTTTCAGGTAATACATGAAACTTTGTGTAAAAGTGTTTATAATAAAATTTTTGATCAGGAAAAGTTTATTTATTTGATCAAATAAATTATACTTATAGCATATTAAAATTCCTCACCTTTGTGATTTTTCACCTATAGATGGAATTTTTTAAGCAAAATTCTTACGAAGAATCACGCGCGATCGCGCGTGAAAATCTTTTCACGCATGAAATAGTGAAAATTGATCGACAAGCATAAGCAGAAAATTTATTCTACATTCACCGATGTTAAGTTGGCTCAATGATAATGTTACGGATTTGCAATTCAAAGTGCCCTGGTTCGAGTCCAAATTTCAGGAAATACATACCTCAAGAGCTACACTTGTTTCACGTGTGACCACGCATGAAGGTTGTTCACTTGTGTATACGAGCGCAGATTTTTCATGCAAATGTCCGTGAAGCATCTGCGCGCGTGTACACAAGTGAACAATCTTCACGCGTGGCCACACGTATGATGTTGCAACAACACGATCCCAACGTCGTGATGCTTGCTGTCTTTACCTACACAATTTCGTGAAAGTCCAAGCTGACATTTCACGGTCCCTCACGCGTGAAAAGTCGATAAAATTTTCTCAATGGGTAGAATATCCTTCAGGAAAAACATGCAGTAGTACAGAATGGTCTGTACTGTTGAACTTTGACATTCTTGATCGAATAGCAAGAGATTCTTTCACCAATAATCTGTAATGTCTATTACTTCGTGCTATGATGGAAATATTGGTAAAGTCTATGAAGTGTCCCGTTTTAATACCATGTTTTCCTAATGCTGATTTGGGCTTAAATTCTTCTTAAGCGGTAAGTAACTGAGTAGCGTTTGGTTTTAATAAATTTTGTATGACACTTCTCAAATTTGTTGGACTCTGCTTTTTAATAACCCGAAATTTTGATTTGTTTCTATTTGTTAAACCCCTGATGGGATATAGAAGCCATAAGATATCACATCCTTTTCGTGTTTATTTGTTTGACGACTAGTCTGTCGAATAGTTTTCCCACTAGACTCTCCATCGCAATCGTTACATTCAATTTTATATACTACGATCATTTCGCTTTACTTTCGACTCCTGATACTAGAATTAACGAACGACTTGGGATAGCCATTTATTACAGCCAATCAATGGCCGTCAAAAAATTTGAAGTTGTACAGTCAATGGCTGTAATAAATGGCATCAACTATCCAGCAAAATAACGCTCACTTGTTGAACACAAATAAGAAATTGTGTTATATCGCGTTACGTTTTGTTGGAAAACCGACGAATGATTTAGCCAGACAGTTCACTGTCCCGGAAAAGCATACTTTTAGAAAAAGCACACTTAAATTGTGCCAATGGCATGGAAAAAGTGTGCCAAAGTATGCTTTTTATGTGCTGCTAGCATGCTTTTACCGT